TGGGACCCGAACAAGGTGCAGCGGCTGCTCCGGTCGCGCCAGCCAATCACGCCCTCTCCCGCCTCCGGTCTTCTTGACGTGATCATGATACTGTGCAGGGGTGGAGGAGAGGGAGAGAGTGCGATAGGTGCAACGCAAGTCTACTACCACTGTCTTTCTGTGTGTAGTACGACCATCGGTTTCGATGAAGTCCACCAAGAGCAGAGACAGTAATCGAGATAAGTACGAGATTATAGTGCAATAAAAAGCGCAAGTGCCTACCTCACTCTAACCCTTCTCGCTTTGACTGGTGACAAGAGTGAAGTCGAGATGACCGAAGCAGGCTTCGGGTGGAAGCCACTTTCTCCAATGCAGTCTGAAACACCGCCTAACTTAGTCTTTAGTGATAGTAGACTTTGCGCGGGTGCTACTGCACTGTCTGCCCTCACTCACCTATAGAAGGTGTCTAGCCGGACTTTAGTAAGCCAGGACTGGTACTGCTACTATCAATACTGCTACTTCTGATACTATTTACTAGGGTGTAGCTGAGTGATAGTATTTGCTAGTACTATAACTGAATGTTTTGTAAGTCAGAAGTGACGCTGATTAAAGTCAGCACTGAGTTCATATCCCGTCAATCTCGGCGAGAAGTGTAGTAGTACTGGTGCTGGCACTGACGCCACCATTCGTCAGAGGTGACGCTGATTAAGCCAACGCTAGGGCTCATATTCCCTTGGTTTCAACAAGGAGTGTGACTCTGGGTTTAGCTATTTCGGATAAGTACATGCTTGGGGTCCTGAGCACAGCAGCGTTTGCCTTGGTTTCCATCGAGCTGTGTACGGACTAAGATACTGCTGCTATGGATACGTGCCTATGCTAATAGTGCTTATTGATGGTTTTATCTCTGACGATGGACTCCCGCAAGAGTTCGAAAGCCCAGACAAATAAAACTACCATTCTGGTGATCGAAACTACTTCTTAATCTATACACATACCTGGGATGCGAAACTTTGTCTCAATTCGTAAATATTTGTCCTGCCTTAATACCGTTTTGACTCCTAGCGATGAGTAACCATCCCCAGCGATAGTAAAATGGTATAGTCTGTGGCTTTTCATACTCCATGAGCATCCCAACTATCGGTAGGTGTTCCATTATGCGCCATCTTTGGAAAAGTTTCTAGCTTACCAGTTGACTAGTAAACAACGCCTCGCTGTCATATTTATAAAATCTTAAACCTAGAGATTGGCATCGCTCGACGAGATACTGCCGAGAAACCTACTAATTGTGTTTTTATTGCCTACTTTAATACCACAAAACACTTGACAGTAATTGCTGTGTATGCCCGCACGTGATGTCGGGACAAGGCGTTCGCGCAAGGCGTTTAAGGTCGCGGGCGAGCGTTAATCCTTTCTTTATCCTGACTGATTATATTTCAGCCAATGACGTTTAAGCCCCACCATAAAGCTCCCTTAGGTAACAGGACAGTTCCCTCATTCTGGGCACACCTCCTACTTACGGACAGCCTTCTGTTTTGTCTATACAACATTCTGCCTAAAAACTACCTTCTGTTTTGAATACAGAACAGTAATGGCTGGGCAATATATTGACCACTGTCAAGAGCACACGGAATGAACGTCACCTGACCTCTCTGTTTGCACCGGTCGGCGAAGATGAAAATCGGCTGCGCTCCTAAGAAAGCATTCTAGGCTAAGCGTACAGATGAGAAGCCGAACTATTAGCTGATTACTAAATAAAAAAGTAGAGAAAATTTACATTGAGATTTTTATTAGGTTGAAACTCTAGCAAAGAAGGTTAAACCCCTGCAGAGGCGATAAACTGCCGGAACGATCGGCGACGCTTCCAATTAGACGACCTTGCTGTTCGGCGAGTGTGTCCCTTATAATTCGGCGGTTGGTGGCTAAGGGCTTCTGCCCTATATTCATGCCTGTGAATTATTTTTAAATGATGCAACTCTTTCCTATCACCGTGTTCTGCTCAAGTTCGTCCACTTGACCGGGACAAATGGTAATACCAGTTAAGTTATGCAGTCAAATCAGCCCACAACATCCTGATTCTTGTGCAAAAATATGATCGAATTTCCCTAGTCGTGGAATTTAATGAGTTCAATAGAAGATGCGATCACTGGAACAAGGGTTTTATTCTCCCGACGTTTCGGCTTCTGTCGATAATCCTTAATCAAAGGCAATTGTAGAATGGTGTGAGACATGCACAGATTGCGGTGGTACATGCACAAATTGCACGGTATTTGTAGGTCGTACCGGTCGTCCACATGCGTTTTATAATTTTCTGCTCCTGTACCAACCGCTTGGGGTCGCAAAGAGGGTGGCGGCCTAAAAATTAAAGTGTTTAGGAAAGCGACCAACACTGTGCAAGTCCTGAACTTCAGCAGCAACCACCCGATAAGTTACAAACGCAACTGCGTAAGAGCGCTATACCGGCGCGTTGAGACGCATTGCAGCGAAGCGGAAGACAAACTTGCTGAATTACAATATCTTCAATGGGTACTGAGAGCAAATGGTTACCCGCACAATTTTGTCAACCAGTGCATACGCAGACGAGGCAAGAAAACAAATCCAACTGGCCCAAAAGTTTGGCGAGCTCTACCGTAGGTGAAGAATGGATCGGAAGCAGTCGGCCACCACCAGGCGCCGGGTCATGAGACTGAAAGACCCACTACCACGGCCGGGGACGGCTGGAGTCGTTCACCAGATCTGGTGCAGTTGTGGACAAAGGAACCACGTCGTAGAAACCGGGGCATTACTTCAGACACGAATGGCCGAGCACGCAGCGGTGGCGAGGAAGAAGGACGATAAATCCCAGGTTGCACACACTCGACGGGACCCGGCCACATTTGCAAGTTCAACGAGGTCGAAATCCTCGCAAGAGATT